AACATGGTGGTCCATTAGCATTGACGGCAACAATCATGACACCTCCACGGCATTGAGCTCTCAGTGTAGCTGTACGTTCAGTGTTCACCTTCTGCCTGCTCAGGTAACCTCTCTCCGTCAACAACACAATGAGCCTGTGTCTGATCAAATCTCCATCATCTCTCCCTAACAGTATTTAACCTACAGCACAACTAGCAGACGAACACAGAAATGGCCGACAAAATCTCACCAACAGGTGCCCCTTGTCACCTAATCAGCCTGCCTGTGCAACAATTACATGTCCGGCTGGACCACTTGCACTGACATCAGTTCCACCTGGCCACAATATGGCTTTAATTTCCTTTTAAGCTGAACATGCCTGTATTGTATTATGAATATTTGTTTTACGATCAATATTTCTGGGTTGCAAGCGAGAGCAGACGTCTTTACTGCTTCTCTTGTCTGTTCTACGATTTTTCACATCGTCCACATTGTCAAGTCTCTGAGCAAATTCTACAACTACTAAAATGCCTCCAAGAGGGAAAAGAGCTAATAAATCCGAAGTGAACAAGGATGTTGAGGCTGAAGAAGATTCTATTTCAGCAGCACAAGTAGCTGAGATGATGAATCAGCAGAAGCTTATGTTCACTGCGCTTATGTGCCAACAGCATGAGAGTTTCCAAGGCTTTGTGAAACTAATTATGGAGACAAATAAGAGATTTGACGACTTGACCAAAGAAATGCAGGAGATAAAAACGAGTTTGCAGTTTACCCAGCGAGATGTGGACGCGATTAAAGCGGACGTGGGGAGGCATGAAAAAACTGCCAAAGACACTTTTCGGGACATTGACAAAACCCGAGAGAGTCTAATAACTATTACGTGTAAAATGGAGCAATTGGGAGCACAGACCAAGCAAAAAAAACCTGATCTTTGAGGGAAACAAGGAGTCAGCTGGAGAAAGCTGGACGGAAGCGGAGTGTAAGGTGAAGGAGATTTTAAAGGACAAACTGCAAATTCATCAAGATATAGAGATGGAAGGGGTTTACAGAGTCGGGAAACTTTCTGATCGGGGTCCAAGGGGGGTGATTGTTAAGTTGATGAAGGACAAAGATAAGACAAACATTCTGCAGCAAGACAAGAAGCTTAAGGGAACCAAGATTTACATCAACGAAGACTACCCCGAGTCTGTGAGGAAGAGAAGAAAAGTGTTCATGTCGATGCTAAGGGCAGCTAGGGAGAGAGGAGAAATCGCGTTTCTGTGATACGATAAACTGGTGACCCGACCTCGGAACCAGGATTTTGGACCCATGACCAGCATGCTGAGACAAGGAGAGTATGATGGGGCCGCTGGACCCTCTCATGTCTGAAGAAACTTGCAGCTATACTGATATCTGCGATGGCAGATGAGCTTTGGAACCAACAACAACAAGCATGACCAATGGATGATATGAGGCAAGTGATTTGCTACAGAAGTTAATAGATTTTGAGGGATGGGATCTGGAACTGAACACATTTGGAGACACTGAAATTCATTATCATGAAACGGACGATGGCTTTGACCCTGAAAAAAACTTTTTCAAGAACTTTGAAAATAACTGCAAGTATTACACGGATGAGCAGTTTAACAGCAATGTCAAGACTGAAAACAAATTATCATTAATTCACTTTAATAGCAGAAGTCTATACGCAAACTTTCAGAGTATAAAACATTATCTTTGTAGTCTTACACATTCTTTTAATATAATTGCTATTTCTGAAACTTGGATTAATAATGTAAGGGGAGTGGATTTTGACCTTGATGGGTACGACTTGGTATGCACAAACAGAATAAGT